TATAGCAAAAACCTCTCCAAAAAAAAAAAATGCATGCTCATTATTTAAAAACCTGTAAAATACAGAAAGCAGAATGTAGAAAATAAAAATTATTCACATCCTATCATCTAAATATAACAACTATTAATATCATACATTCTTTAAAAAAGAATTTAAAATATTATAATCTACCATTTTACTATTAATATCTTCCATTCTTTAAAAAAGAATTTAAAATATTATAATCTACCATTGTCGAGGGATTTAAAGAGAACACAGATATTTCTGTTCACTATTGATTGGAAGTCTTTAAGCAAATAGATACATATATTTTTAAAAACTGGTAAAATAACAGAAATGAAGAGATGAAACTGTATTTACAGATGATGAATATTTTACTTACTTAAAATATGTAAGATAACTCATTTTATTTTTTAATTTTTTTCATGTGTTTATTTATTTTTCCACATTTACTTTACATATTAAAAAATTTTTGCTCATACTCCATAGTTCTTGAGAGCTAATAAACAACTTTCAAAATTTCAAAATACTGAATTTTAAAGATAATGTTCAAAATATTTCTTGTAATTCTGTATAATTTTGTTTGTGTCTCTCTAACAACGGAGACAGTATGGTTTTAAATATTTTTGAGAAAATATTGACATGTCAACCACTCAAATTGTTGAAAAGCAAATGCCCAGCACACAAGTCACACATAAACCTTCTCAAATCAGCCCTGCCTACCAAGTATTCTGTGATACACCATCTGCCAGCAAAGATCAGTCTCTTTTTCTTCCTTCAACGTCTTTCTCAAGATAATTCCCTGCTGTGGTTGCTCTTTTGCAATCTCTACTAATTACAATGCTGGGCTGAAAAGTCCAGGTTATTTTATGTTATAAATTCTTTCATATATCTTTCTAATCCCCTCTGCCAGGAGTACTATTTATGGTGCCAGGTCCAAATAACTCACTTTAAATTTTTAAAATTTAACAAGAGTTACAAATCAACTTTTATAATTTTATCTTTTAAATGTCTTCCAAGAGGCCAGCAGGTGGCATGGTGATTAAGACTTTGGACTTCCACATGGCTGTCTATGGTTCAAACCCCACACTGGCAGCCTGAAAATCATACTGGGCACATGTGCATGTTGGGCCAAAATCCTGAGAGGAGAATGAAGAAGGGATTGTGGCACATCCATCCCCTGTGAGGGTCTCTCTTTTTCCCGAGACCACACACACGCTATAGCAAAAATCTTAAAAAGGAAAAAAGAAAAAATTCTCCCATGAGTGAAAGAGACAGAAATGGAGACAGACGGGGGGATGGGGAGGACAGTAACCCCTCAGGGTCCCGATGCCACAATCTGCCCCCAACCTTCAGCCAGCCCCAGATCATGGGCAAGCCCATGCCCAGAGTACTCCAGGAAGACTCCAGATGTTAACCAAGAACCTTCTTATGTGGAATTTCCTCACAGAACATAATATTTTACTACTGTAACACCGTCCAGCCCCTTCAAATTAACTTTCGAAAAATAGCGTCAGCTCCATGGTGCAGCTGTAATGCACTGCTCAAAAGGATCCCACATAGTGACCATGGTTCAAATCCTAACCCAGTTGGTTTGAAACATCTCAGGCATGTGCACGAATGCCCAGATCCAATAGAGATCTGGAGCAGAAAGCTGCAATGTGACCAGATTCTGTGGAGGGTGCTCCTCTGTCTGTCTCCCTCTCTCACGTGCACATGCCTTTAAAAAAAAAAGTACTCCTATTCGCCAGAAATAATCAGACAATTATAAGAAAAAAAGTAAGGATTCCATTCATAGTTATACCTAGGAATACATCTGTGCCAAAGAGCTAACACAGCATAGGCCAGCAAATGGCATGGAGATTAAGGTGCTGGATCCCACATGGCTGACTCCACAGTTCGAGTCCTAGACCCAGCAACTAAATCATGCCAGGCACATGTGCGTGCATGCCCAAAACCCTGAGAGGAGAGGAGACTGGAGGAGAAGGATTGTGGTGTTTCCCCTCCCTTTCAGGAGGTGATCTCTCTGTCACTCTCTCTCTCTCTCTCTCTCTCTCGCTGTATCTCTCTGTCAATGGCACATGACTTAAGAGTAGGAAAAAAAAAAAAAGCTAATACTGCATACCTGAGATTTATATTCTTAGCCAGGCCCTATGTCTAGGACTTTCACTGTTGCCTAACTGATAGAACCATGCTCCAAATGATAGGAGTGGCTTGCTACACCTAAACTGTTTGTATGTACAAAGACAGTGGTTTGTGCTGAACACTTGCTTACTCCTGGGAGTCTGCATGTGATATGCATAGTGTTTATATGCCTGGCCCCCAACAGTAACCTTGGATACAGAGTCTCTAATGAGCTTCCCCAGTAGACAACACTTCTCACTAGCTGTCACAACTTGTTGCTGGAAGAATTAAGTGGGTCCTGTGTGAACTCCACTGGGAGAGGACGCTTGGAAGTTTATACCTGGATTCCTCTGAATTTTGTCCCCTGAGCCATTTCTCAATACTAATTTTGCTTTATATCTTTTTGCTCTAATAAATCTTTTCGAGTGCAGCTGGATACAGAGTCCTATGAGTCCTAATAAATCCAGGGTGTTCTAGGGACCCTCCACAATATTTTTCTGAAGAAAATAACAAAATGTTCATTGAATAACAAAAAAAGACCTAAGTAAATGGAGAGTTATATTATGATTGAAAGTGGGGGGAAAAAGCAGCACACTGTTTATTCATCATTATTTATATATTCAATGTAATTCCAATCAATAGGCCTACAGGGTTTCCTTTCTAATGGTGCTTTCTGCCCCCTCCCCCTTAATAAAGCATGTATGCACACATATAAGAAGAGAGAAGAGATAAGCATCTTCCTCAGGGTTTGGTCATAATAAAATCTCCTATCTCCAGTCCAACAGTCCACTGGTTTTTGGAAACTTGTGCCTGGTATGTTTCAGACTGATCAGACCAGGAATTCAAACCACAGTTGACATGAGGAACCCAGCTTTTCCTGAGCAATGCATTGCCACTGTGTCATGGAGCCAGCCCTTTTTTTTTTCTTTCTTTTTTGTTAAGTCAATCCTGTCAATATGGAAGAGCCAAGAATAACCAACCATGAGGCAAAACAAGGTGGGAGAATTTGCTCAACTTGACATCAAGAATTACAACGCTATACAATTACTACGTGGGATCCTTCTTTTGAGTAATACATGATTGCTATGCATACAGCTGGGCCTATTTTTTCAAAGTTGACTTGAGGGGGCTGGACAATGGTGTGACAGTAAAATGTGATGGTTGTGATGATCTGTGAGACAATCCCATGAGAAGGTTCTCAGTTTGCATCTGGAGACCTCCCTGAGTATTCCAGGCATGTGCCTGCCCATGATCCGGGGCTGGCTGAAGGTTAGAGATGGATCATGGCTTTGGGACCTGTGGGAGTGCTCTCTCTCTCTCTAGCACTCTCTCTGTTTCTGCCTCTCTCACTCTTAGAAGACATTTTTTTTTTTTAATTAGAAGAGTTGGTTTGATACTTGTAACTTGTGTCAAATTTTAAAAATTTTAGGGCCCAGCAGTTAACGTAATGGCTATGTCGCTGGACTCCTACATAGTAGATCGCTGTTCGCGTCCTGGACGCAGTGGCTTAAACTCACGCCAGGTGCGTGTGCGTGCGTGCCCAAGATCCCGAGAGGAGAATGGAGGAGAAGGGATTGCGGCGTGGCCATCCCCCATGGGGGGTGATTTCTCGCTTTCTGTCTCTCTGTCTCTGTCTGGCAAGCACATGCACCCTATAGGAAAAACCTCTCCCCCCCAAAAAAAATTTTTTAATGAATTATCATATATAGTCTAAGTATAATAAAATTAGGCAGCAGGAAAGATATCTCAATGAGGCTTTTCATGGAATTTGATAACATGTCTCTAAAATTTATAAAAATAAGCAACAGACCAAAGTAACCAAGACACTCTCAATGAAAATAAACCCTACCAGATGACAAAGTATCTGCAATATAAGATTTATTAGTATGAGGGACCAGCAGTTAGCATAATGGCTATGTGGCTGGACTCCCACGTAGTCGACCATGGTTTGTGTCCCGGACCCGGTGGCTTAAACTCACGCCAGGCACGTGTACGTGTGTGCCCAAGATCCCGAGAGGAGAATGGAGGAGAAGGGATTATGGCGTGGCCATCCCCCTGGGGGGTGATTTCTTGCTTTCTGTCTCTCTGTCTCTCTCTATCTGTCTGGCGAGTGCATGCACCCTATAGCAAAAACCTCTCCAAAATAAAGAAAAAAAAAGATTTATTAGTATGACAAAGCTATAGTAATTAAGGTAGTAAAATATAATATAAAGATGGACAAAGAATCCAATGTAAGTGACTAGAAAGCCCCAAAATATCTCCATCATATATGAAAAAACAATTGCTAAATGACATTATAGACCTTGGGAAAAGATCAATAAATATGTTGGGATGCTAAGCTATGCATACAAGAAAAATTAAAACCCCTACCTTATATTTTCTGTATTCTTCTGTGTGTTCCAAAATATTTCATAATAAAAACTGAGTTTGACAGGGGACCAACAGTTGGCATAATGGCTATGTTGCTGGACTCCCATGTAGTCAACCACGGTTTGAGTCCCAGACCTGGTAGTTTAAACTCACACTGGGTACGTGTGTGTGTGTGTCCAAGATCCCAAGAGGAGAATGGAGAAGGAATTGCGGTGTGGCCATTCCCCTGGGGGGGTGATTTCTCATTTTCTGTCTCTCTGTCTGTCTCTGTCTTTCTGGCAAGCGCACACGCCCTATAGTAAAAACCTCTAAAATAAATAAATAAATAAATAAATAAATAAAACCACACATACACTAAAATCCTTCACTCTATTGGTAAACCATAGGCCAACAATCATAATTTTACCAACTGTTCTCCTTGCTAGGGCCTGTGGGATATGAAATCATTACTTAAATAAGATATAACCTCAATTTTACATACATTTTTAAAATAATATGAACCTTACCTCATAGATCCTGGCAATTCCACAAAGCAGGGTCACTTCTCCTGGAAATTTATCTAAGCCTTGTTTAAAAAGATTTAAAGCAGTCACAGGTTGATCCAATGAAATGTAAACCTAAAAGCAAGATACAGGTCAATAAAAGTATCAGCTATTTTTTAAAAACAGTATGTATGATAAGTTTATAATTACTGGTTAGCAACAAGGTATCTCCTAGATTCTACACTAAAAGATATTCAGAAATGTGCAGAATTTCCAATAAAGATATTATAATTGTATCACTACATGCTGTATATGAAGTGTTCATTCATTTATTCCTCCAACAAATGTTTATTGTGGGCTTTCCTACTGCCACAGAGACAGACAGTAACTAGATAAGAAAAGATTAAGGGGAAAATCTTTTTAGGACAGAGACGACACAAGGTCTGTAGGCTGGTTTTAAGGAACCAGTTAGGAGCTTGTAATTGGAGATGCTTAAGAAAGAGGGATCACTCATGGTATAAGGGCTGAGAGAGAACCGCAGGAAAGAGCAGTGGTGGAAAAGCCCTTCCAAAATAAAGGATCAACAGGTTTGTAAGCTATGAGGTCAGGGAGCTGAGCAAGTCAAGTTTCACAGCTTTCGCTTCATTAGGAATCATTACATTAGCACAGATAAGCCATGGACTTAATAAGGATTTCTAAAATGGAGAATTGTGATTTTATGTATAGAAACATAGGAATATAACACTCTACTTCATGATTTTGGATTTACTTTCGAAACAGGCTGTGCTTTGAAAAAGGCCTAAATGGATACACAGAAAACTGATTACAGCATTTATTGCTAAAGTATAAGATCAGAGGGAGCAGTCTACACGAAAACTTTTCAACTTTTAGCTGATATGTTTCTGAACTGCTTTTTAAAATATAAGTATTAATAACATTAACATATACTAATATAAATTAATTAATTTTTTAATTAACCATTAAAAATTTAAAAAACAATGTTGTTCTTAAAAATCTGCTAATCTCTCAGGAACCAGCAGTTAGCGTAATGGCTATGTCGCTGGATTCCCACGCAGTCCACCGCAGTTCGCGTACCGGACCTGGTGGCTTAAAACTCACGCCAGGTGCATGTGCGTACATGCCCAAGATCCCGAGAGGAGAATGTAGAAGGGACTGTGGCATGACCATTCCCCCTGGGGGATGATTTCTCGCTTTCTGTCTCTATGTCTCTCTCTGTCTGTCTGGCAAGCGCACGCACCCTATAGTGAAAATCTCTCCAAAAAAAAAAGAAATCTGCTAATCTCTCTTACATAGCAAAAACCCCTCGTACATTAGTGGAAAGAAGCCTATGTTACTTCTGTAAAGTTGTGTAGGCAACAACAGGTTTAAATGAAGGAACTGATGAAAATAATAGGTGAAACCATGTACAAGTTGAATGTCTCTTCTCCAAAATTCTAAGAACCAGAAGTGTTCCAGATTTGAATTTTGTCTTGAATATTTGCACAGATATAATGAGAGAGCTTGGGGATGGGATGCACATCAAAACGTAAAATTCATTTATGTTTCATGTACATCTTAAATGCATAGCCTGAAGATGATTTTATATAGTTTTTAAAATTTTGTGTGTGAAACTGTGTGTGTGTGTGTGTGTGTGTGTTTGTTTTGCACAGGGGAATGTGGACATGTGTGAAACAGTTACATTGGAGTAAAGGGCTGGGAGGGTCTTTTTCTCCTTGGGAATGCTGAAGAAACCATATGATATACACCTGCACTTTGATGTAACCTGTCCTGAGGTCAGATGTGAAATTTTCCACTTTTGGTGTCATGTCAATACTCAAAGTGAGATATTTTGGAGCAATTCAGAGCTTTATTTTTGGATGTTAAGGATGTTCAATCGTTACAAGAGTTAAAATAATAATTCTTTTCAACCTCTTGGCAAGTGATTATCCATTAAGAAGAAAACAGTTAAATAATGTGACCTGAGCCTTAACATCAAGTTGTCTCTTTCAGAAAAGATTACTATGAAGCTTAGAAACTTCTTTAGGAATTTATGGGGCCAGCAGGTGGCATGGTGGTTAAGGCACTCTACTACCGCATGGCTGACTGTGGTTTGAGTCCCAGACCTGGCAGATTGCTTTCTCACTTTCCTTCTCTCTCTGTCTCTCTCTGGTGAATGTGAGTGTCCTATAACAAGTTAAAATAACAGTAATAAATAAAGTAAAATAAATCATTCTAAAACAATGTAAGTTTAACATATAATAAACAGAAGATAAACTTACATACCAGATAGCTTCAAACATTTTTGGAAATCACTGTAAACATACTAATATTAGTATTATAAATTTATATAGTGTAACTTTCATTGTTTCTTTTTAGTATGCTAAATTTTTAGAAAGAATTACTTTATTTAACTTTATTTATTTAATTTAACCAGAGAGAGACAGAGTGAGAGAGAGTGAGAGGGAAGGCGAGACAGCAAGCTGCCAGGTCTGAGAATCAAAGCTGCCAGGTCTGAGAATCAAACCACAGTCGACCATGTGGGAGTCCTGCACCTTTAACCACAACCCCACCTGCTGGCCCCAAGTATGCTAATTTTTATTACCATATTTAGGAACTAGTAGCACTTCCTTTTATCTTTCACCTTCTTTTGAATTTCCTTTTCCACACATTTTCATTAAAAGACTCTTAAGGGGCTGGCCCTGTAATGCAGCACACATAGGAAACCAAATCCCACGTGACCATCCATGGTTCAAATCCAGGCACTGGTGGCTTGAAAAATATGCCACGCATGTGTGTGTGCACACACATGCCTGGGATCCTGACAGGATGGAGAGATGGAGGATGGAGGATTGCGATGTGACCACACCCCACTGAGGGGATGCTTGTGCGCTCTCTCTCTTTCTCTCTCTCTCTCTCATAAGCATACATGCCCACTGGCAATTAAGAAAAAAAAAAGAATCTGGAGCCAGCAGGTGACATGGAGATTAAGGTGTTGGATCCCACTTGACTGACTGACTCCACAGTTCAAGTCCCAGATCCAGTGGCTTGAAAATCACACCATGCACATGTGTGTGTGTGCCCCAAATCCCAGCAGGACAATAGAAGGGATTGCGGCATGGCCACTGCCCTACAGGGAATGATTTCTCACTCTCTCACTCTCTCTCTCTGGCAAACACACATGTCCTGTAACAAAAACTAAAAAAATAAATAAATAAATAAATAAACTCTAAAAAATACAAAAAGCTGATGTCATAACCACTTCATCAAATTTTCCTCTTTCGAACTAGGTGAGGATCAAGGAGTAACTTTAGGGACAGCCTGTAGCCTGGTGGTAAGATGAGCCAGATCCCTTGGACCAGCAGATGGCGTCATGGCTACATCTCTAGACTCCCACATAGTTGACCACGGTTTGAGTCCTGAACCTGGCAGCTTAAAACTCATGCTAGGTGTGAGTGTGTGCCCAAAATCCCAAAAGGAGACTGAAGGAGAAGGGACTGCAGTGTGGCCTTCTCCCAGGGGGTGGTTTCTCGCTTTCTGTGTCTCTTTCTCTCTGTCTCTCTGGGAAGCTCACATGCCCATTAGCAAAAACAAAACAAAACAAAACAAAAAACAATGCGTCAGATCCCATGTGGCCAACCACAGTTTGAATCCCAGCCCTGGTGGCTTGAGAAAACACCGGGTGAATGTGCATGCACGCTCAAAATTCTGACAGGATGGAGGAATCAAGAAGAGACTGCAGCATGCTGATGCCACACTGGGACATGCTTTCTCCTTCTCCTTCTCCTCTAAGTTTCTCTCTGGAAGGCGCCTCTGACAACTAAAAGAAAGGTAACTTTATCCCAATATTGAACATTCTAAGTGGCCCTCTAATTCTGCGATGGCTGTGGGTAGCTCTGTGGCTTAGAGTCAGGAAGACCTGGGTTTTAAAGCTGGCTCTTAGCAGCCAAATGACTCAAAAACTTAACCTCTTTAAGTTTCATTTTCCTTAAGAGTATAAAGAAAATGATAAAACCTACCTTGCAAGGTTATTGTGAGGGTTTAAACTACAGATATAATGAGCCTGATGCAATACCTTACAGCTAGTTGGTGCTAATAAAAAATCATTTTAATTATTATGGCAGAGCTGAGTAATTAAGATCTACATAAACATGGTCCCTGGGCCAGCAGGAGGCATGGTGGTTAAGGAGCTGGATTCCCACACAGCCAACCACAGTTCGAGTCCCGAATCTGGCAGCTTGAGAATCACGCTGGCTGAATGTGCATGTATGCCCAAAATCCCAAGAGAAGAATGAAGGAGGAGGGAGTGCAGTGTGGCCACCACCAGGGAGCTGATTTCTCACTTTCCCTCTCTCTTGAAAGCACATCTGAATTATGGTAAAAAAAAAAAAAACTTTAAAAAAAAAAAAAAAAAAACCTGTCCTCTATATTCAGTCAGGTGGGAAACAAATTTGCTGGAGAAAAGAAGGCCTCTCTGGGGTCTGGCATCCATGGGCATGATGAGCCTACAGCATTTTCTTCAGTCCTAATGGGCAATCTTTCAAAAGGATTTTCTTATTTTTCACAGTAGCCAGTTTCTTCCCAAGATAGTTACCCACCTTATATTCTTGCTTTTTCCTTTTCTATTAAGAAAATTAAGTTAAGTCTAAATATAACATGTCGAATATTCCTAAAGAGACTCTCCCATGCAATGGCCAGACATTCCAATATTTATTCTGGAGGCCAGCAGGTGGTGTAGTAGTTATGGCCACAGTTTGAGGTCCGGAACCTCACGTGTGTGCATGCCCGAAGTCCCAGGAGAAAAATAGAGGAGACTGTGGCATGGCCATCCGCCACGACAGGTGATTTCTCACTTTCCCTCTCACTATCTCTCTCTGGTATTTTCCATCAAGCGCATGTGCCCTGTGGCAAAAAGACCTTAAAAAATTAATAAATTTCAAAAAATAAATAAATAAATATTTATTCTGAGAAGACAGATCTCACTCAAATTAAGAATATTTTTACTTACTTTTGCCAAGTAGAGAAATGTATCTACCATTTCCTGTTGCTTCAGGGCTGACTTAAACTGTTTTTCTGCTTCACGATACATTCCTAACCTAAGAACAGCCATTCAAAAAGTTAGACATTCAGTTTAAAAACAAAAGCATCCTTTTTTTCATACCCTGAGAATATGAATAGAGACAAATTACATCTGTAAGAGCAAAGGTGTACCACAGAAGTTAATATTGCTGTACATGCACATGTATACACGTATGTTTAAATCAGTTTAGCAAAAAGTTGCCTATCTCCCACGTTCACTGGCTATCTTCTCCTAAATGGTGTGTACAGCGTCTGCCTAAGCCTAGTCACAGCAGGACTAATAGCTGTCATTAAGCCAGGTTACATCAGTTCACCACCCAAAGAGCTTATGATCAGTTGGACATATGGCAAGTGACCTGAATAAATGCATACAGTCTTTATTTTACTAGAAGAACTGAAAGATGACATTTCTATGAAAACACCTTCCACTCTCACAACAGAGCCCATTTTTAAAAAGCTATCCTTACACTAGTTTGATGTAAGGGATAATTGTCACGTGGGTGATATAGCTATACCATTCTATTATTCTAGAATCTGCTTGCTCTTCCTCCATTAGGTAGTTGATACTGATTGTGAGCTACAAGTCTGAAGTTTGCTTCTGGCCTAGAAATGACCGTCCTGACACCAGGGCCCACCTCTTCTGCTCTGAAACATTTTGTCACCACTAAAGCAATCACAAAAGCACACACAGCTTTCAGCCTGTCCTTAACAGACCTGTGAGGCTTTCTCATAACAACTCTTTCCTAACCATCTAAGAGCTCCTTAGATACAACGATGGTTTATTTTGTGAAATAAAATCAGAATATCAGTATGTTCTGTTGGGCTACTTTCACTTGAAAGTTTTCATTTAATAGTTTTGATCTTTTTTCAGAACCTATACACATCAAGCACTGGTGTGGCTGACACCCAAACAGCTGCAGGAAGACTTGGGGTTAAAGTGATTAAGGATGAACCCAGAAGACTAGCCCGAAGTTCAAGGACATGATGAAGTAGAAGCTGCCACGCTTCAAAGATCCCACAAATATCACAAGGAGTATTTATAAAATGTTACCAAAAGAATCTAAAGTCCTGAAAAACAACATATTTATGTACAGAACATCAATTGAGCATGCAAGTTTAAAACATATGACCTAAGCAGTCACTGGACCACTGAATGCTAATTATCCCGAAGAGTATATATTTTTATCTAATAATTTGCCTCTTTTCAAAATATTCCAAAAGGGGTTACAACAAAAAGAAACATATAAAATATGATAATGGAAAGATAAACAAGTTAGGAAAAATTGCAGAGATATTGAGCTAAACATGGAAGTGAAAGAAAGAAAGAAGATATGGATCATATGTTTTTTATTATTGCTGCATACTCAAGAGATAACTTCTACTATTTTCAAAAAGAAATTTAGCATAAGGAAATTATTTTTTTCTTTTGTGGAGAGGTTTTTGCTACAGGGCACGGGTGCACTCGCCAGACAGACAGAGACAGACAGAGAGACAGAAAGCGAGAAATCCCCCCCCAGGGGCGATGGCCACGCCGCAATCCCTTCTCCTCCATCCTCCTCTTGGGATCTTGTGCATGCACACACACGCGCCCAGCGTGAGTTTAAGCCACTGGGTCCGGGACTCGAACCGCAGTCGACTATGTAGGAGTCCAGCGACATAGCCATTACGTTAACTGCTGGTCCCAGCATAAGGAATTTTTTATAAAGGCTTTGAGTTTTTTTCTTTCTTTCATGGGAGTAAAAGACAGAGAAATGATGAAAGAGAGAAACAAGCACTCTCAACAGGGTTTCACACTGCAATTCTCCCCCCCACACATAGCCTTCCAATTTGGCCAAGGTCATAGGCACTTGGCCCAGCATTGTGGGTTGACCAGAAAACCAAACCCACTATCTACCATACAGATCCAGCATTGCTTGAGCAGTGCCTTACTGCTTCAACATTGAACCAGCCCTAATACATAAATTCTCGTGCAAAGAAAATAGAGCAGGCCATGTCCAATGAAAGTACAGAAATAATGAAAACATAGCCAAGTTCATAAATGCAGGCCAGTGTCAGACAGAGCCAGAGATAGTCTCATTGGCTGGCAGCTTTCTCTAATTTAATCTGCCAAAACCATCAAGCATCCTCTGTGTGCATATTTCATGACAGTAAGGAAACACATAAATGAGGAAGGTAACAGCCATGTCCTTAAAATGATAATAATCTAAGAGTGAAACAAAGCGTGTTTATAGATAAGTTCAATAATTTTATGGCCAATGAGAAAAAATGCTTTGCGAGCACAGAGGAAGTCAATCAAGATGGTTTCAGAAAGAAGTGACAGACAAGATTTCAACAGCTAGACAGGTGCAGGAGGGGAGGATATTTCCAAACAGATGTAAATTATGAGCATAAGTGCACAGCAGGAAAGGCATAGAAAATTAAGAGAATGATGAGGACTTCAGTTTATTGAAGAGGAATTATAATGGGAGGAGTGAGAGATGTATGCATACACATGTAGACTGGGACTAGATCAGGGCCACACTTAAAATCTAGACATGAGTCTAGAGGTAATGGGGATTTACCAAGGAATCCAACGAGAGCTGTTTTTTCACAACAGATATGGGACTACTGTAGGAAGACTAGGCAAGGCAGGAGACTGATGTGGAAAACTCAAAATAAAAGGCTACTGTAATAACTTAGACAACTGATATGAAAAGTCAGAATTAGGGTATTGGTGGAGGAATGGGTAGTAAGGGAGCAGCTCTGAGAGTTACTGCAGGAGGAGAATCAATACAACATAATGATCAGGATCAAAGGGAAGGAAGTCAGTTTGGGGCTACATGTTCTGGTAATCCATCCTTGACTCACTAGTTGAAATTAGGAGCTCCTTCTCTGAGCTACTTTTATACTCTGTTATTTGCTTCTACTGTGTTGTTGGAAAAGTCATGATGTATTTTTCTATGCAAAAATGCATCATGACTTTTTTGATGACCCATAGCATAATGGAAATCATGCCTATAACTATTTACTGTCCTCTCTTCCCCATTCTAATATAAACCATTTGAAAGAAGGGATGTTCTAGTAAATCTTTTATCTCCAGAGTCTGGCAGAATAGTTGCCCATTAAATATTTTACTGAGTGAATGAGTGAATATATGAATAAATGAATACTGAATACCTAATAAAGATGAGCAGACATTAAAGAACAGAGAAGAATGATAATTGTTTATGACAAGGTATATTCATTTAAATGCATATATGGGTGGCAGAGGAATGAGAGTTGTGCTTGCCTTTCATTATTAGATTTCTGAAGGTTTTGCTTGCAAGTTAATGATTTCAAGATTGTCTTCAGAAATTATAGTCCTAAGATTTAGGGCCACCCCTGACATGGTGATTAAGGTGGCTGGATCCCATGTGGCTGACTATGCGATTCAAGTGCCAGACCCAGTGGGTTCAGAAACATGCCAGGTGTTATGTGCCACGTGTGCCTAAAATGGAGAAGGGATCACGGCAGTATGATCATTCCCCGTGGGGTGGGGAGGTGCTCTCACTTTCCCTTTTCCTCTCTAGTCTCTCTCTGGAGAGTGTGTGCACTTTCAGGCAAAATTTAGAAAAAAAAAAGGAATTTAATGTTATAATGGTCTAAAGTAACCTTTTAGCAGAAAAACTTGCTCAATTTAGCAGTATGAAAAAAATACTTTAGAGCTTCATGTGAAATATTTAAATGGCATTTCAATAGCAGAATAGTAAGCATCCTTTTCATTCCATTTATATTCTTCTTTTTCCTTAAAGACAACTAGTTTATAAATATTGAAGGGTGTTCATAGTAACCAAAGCTTATCTTGTGTTTGAGTAAAAAAAGATATAGTCACCTTTATAAAATATAATTGTTCATCTGTCTCTATTTTTCAAACATTCTAAATCCATTTCAATATTAGCAACAAGTTTCAGATCTTATTTACTATCGATAGTCACTATACAAATATTCATAAAATTAATTATGATTTTCTGATCCCTCAGTTAATGTGGTTTAAATGTGTTAAACATTAAGTGAGGGACAGCAGGTGGTGTGGTGGTTAAGATACTGGACTCCCACATGGCCCTCCGTGGTTCAAGCCCCATACCTGGCAAATTACTTTCTCACTTTCCCTCATTCTCTATCTCTGACTCTATCTGGTCAAATTAAAAAATAATAATAATAACAGTGATGAATAAAATGAAATCTTTTTTTTTATATTGAGAGAATATAAGAATAAGCAGTACTTCAAGAAACAATATGGAATTGCAGAACCAATAAGACTGGTGTCAGAAAGCTGAGCTCAAATTCTTGCTCTTCCACTTACAAGCCACATGAATTCAGACAACTCACTCTATCTTTGTGAGGCTCAATTTTTCTCATCTTGGAAAAGGACTAATAATAGCAACCACCTCTGAGGTGCTATGAGGTTTAAGTGAGATGATGCAACATACGAAAAAATCACTTTGTAACTGTAAGGAGCTTCATAGATATGAGGTATCAACTTAAATGAAAAAGACTTGAGAGCCAAAGGGACAAGAGTAGGAATCACCAGACTTGGTCTAGTTCCAGGTCTGTTACCTACTGGCTCCTGATGCAAATCATTCACTTTCTGGCCTCAGCTTTTTCTCCTGAAAAGGGATAGTGAGAGGCCAAGTGAGAAATCAGCCCCTGGGGCATGGCCATGCTGTAATCCTCCCTGTTTCATTCTTCTCTTGGGATTTTGGGCACATACACATATACCCACTGTGATCTTCAAGATGCCAGGTCCAGGACTCAAACCATGGCCAGCCATGTGGGAGTCTAATACCTTAACTACTGTGTCACTCTATTACTCTAAAGGCGTCTGTTTCTATTGCTACCATGTGATTGTTAAGTAAGTGCTTTCTTAGACAAGCGACAGTTACAGTTCTCATATCTTCATGAGGAAATCTTAAAAAAAAAAAATGATTACCTTTGAGATCCTAAAATGTATTTCCACTTGTAAGCCATTCACAGATAACTAAAGTTTTACCTGTAGTAACATTTACCAATCTGCACTTTCCACCACCAGTCCTTATACTGAGAATGCTCTGTGGAGAGGGCAGCCAGATCCAAAGCCTTTGAAAACAATTCATCTGAAGATTAGAATTTTCTAACAATAAATAGTCAGAAAAATAAGTAATCAAATAAAATATAAATTAGCATCAATCAAAACATGCACTGGAAATCAGACAGAAATCCAAGTTGCTCAGGTTTCCAGATGGCCCCACCAATTTTTTCTAAATAATCAGTTCCAGACCACATAGCTAACAGAGATGAGATAGAAACACTAATCAAAGGGAAGCAGATGTACAATATATTTGAATGCAATTTTAATAAACAAAGCACAAAAGTGATATGAAAAACCTGTAAATTTTTACCCTTTCTTCACTGTTTATCTACAGTCCAATGATTAGAAATGCCTCCACAGTGAGTGGCAGTCAAGCTTTTGGTATATAAACAGGGTCCAACTGCAGACCCCACTTTAAAGACAGGTGGAAAGAAATAGAGAAGGATAAAGTAAACAGGCAGACAGCAGGTTTGGAAAGCAGGATCTCGAAGAAGAGCTGTGCTATTTGCGTAACTGCTATCTTTAACGACCACGCTTTCCTTACTCTGACATAACCTTACCTTCCAGTAATTCTCAGGGTCGGACAACCCTTTGCTACAGACTGAAACTAAATCTCCTTCATTGCTTTCATATTTTCCATCTGTTCATACCTTTTTTTTTTTCTTTTTTGGAGAGGTTTTTGCTATAGGGTGCAGGCGCTCACCAGAAAGACAGAAACAGAGAAACAGAAAGCAGGAAATTGTCCCCCCCCCCCCAGGGGGAATGGCAACCCCGCAATCCCTTCCCGGGGGAATGGCCACACCGCAATCCCTTCTCCTCCATTCTCCTCTTGAGATCTTGGGCACACATGCACATGCGCCCAGCGTGAGTTTAAACCACTGGGTCCGGGACTCAAACCACGGTCAAATACATGGGAGTTCAGCAACATAGCCATTATGCCATCTGCTAGTCCTCCATCTGTTCATATCTTTAATGTCATCTAGTGTGTTCCTTCTAGTGTTTATTTAAGATCATACAAGAGATGAGTAAACAGGAATTAAGATCTTATTAGAGGATATGAAAACCGTTTGACAAGGGAGAAAGCAAATCACCCCTTATACAACTTGAAGCTCAAAGAAATTTGCAGGCCATGGGAAGACAGATGAATAGAAGCTAGGGTTATCAGTTAAAAGAGTATTCTGAGTTTTTATAATACTTATCCTCTCTCTCAAAGTTGATCATTTTTTAGACTTTAGCCAGTGTTAATATAATCATGATATCCAACAGCTCAGTTAAAGTAATGCTTAGATTTTTAGTTCTATTATCTCAAAATGCACCTTGCATCACTGTCTACTTCATATTAACGTTTTTCAGAAATGAAGGCCAGAAGAGCTCCTTGAATCTCCTACTGCAGAATTAATTATGTTTCCTTGTGTTTTCCATATTCTCTTGCTCCAGGGGAGACCTCTAAATATGCAAACTACTTATAAAGGAATGATGTCCCCATGCTGAGCCTCTAATGGACTTGAAAAACCAACGTCTCTACTTGAAAGTGATGGAAATTAAAAACAAGCCACACACTCCTGTCTTATGCTTGTTTTTCTTTCTCCCTCTAGCCAGAAATTAAAAAAAAAAGAAAGAAAGTAAAAAATGAGGAAAACTGACTAACTTCAATTAGCTGTTATCGCTGGAAATACTAGGAAAACACTCACATATTTTCAATCAGCTCAATTCAGCGTGCACTGTAAATATCTAAACATTTTAACTTAATCCTTATAAAGACCTTTTCCAACTAATAGATCGTTTTCACTCTCCAGCATAACATAAATGGGCTTAGTTTTTAGAAAACAGCATCATTCCTATTTTTTGTGCTTATTTGCATATCCTAACTTCCCAAGGTTAGAGTGAGTGATTCTTACAGGCTGCTGGTGTGGTTTTCTCGTGTGATCCTGAAACAGTCTTCCTATAGAGGTCTCTGTATAAAAATCAGGAAGACTGATTTTTATGCTAATCCAGTTAAGGAAATCGTCTAGAGTTCTGATACAGAATAAAAATGGTGAAAAAAGTTATATATATAT